AGAGAGAGAGAGATCATACAATCCAGGATTCCACCAGGAACCCTGGAAACCCAAACTCTGTGTCCTAGAAAAAACTAGGCTAATGTTAAAAAGTATGCAAATAATAAATTTTGCACATCTGATGCAGTTCTTCTGTGTCCAGTTTCAAACACAGCATTGCTCCTTTTTAATATTTTTAAACAGCCATATTAAAGATCTTTTAGAATACATTCAGAACTATCTACTTAGAGAGGGCTCCTACCACATTTCCTACTTTGTGCAGTATTTACATGAAATGACTGGGTGAAGTGAGGATGAAGTGCCATTGGTATGCTGATGACACTCAGTGCTCTCTCACACTGTTTTTCATCTGCTCCAGGACAGGCACTAGGAGTCGCTGAACCAGTGCCCAGTACCTCTGATGGTCTGAATGTGGGAAACTAAGCTGCAGCTTAATCCAGGGATGCACAGAAGTAGTGTTGGGTCAGGGTTCTGCTGATCCAGGGTTCGATGAACGGTCTGTTTTGGTTGCATGCCCCCTTCAAAATGAGGTAAGCAGTTGGGAATGCTTCTGATCCAGCACCACTCCTAGATTTCCAGGTGGCCAGAAGTGCTTTTCAGTAGTTTGGGCAACTGCATCCCCTCCCGGAGAACCAGACCTGGCCACAGTCAATCATGCCACTAGTTACAGAGGAAGCTGCCTTATACGAAGTCAAGCGATTGGTCCATCTTGATCTACAGAGATCGGCGCTGGCTCTCCAGGGTTCTCAGGCTGGGCTCTATCCCAGCCCAGCTGGGAGACACCAGGGGCTGAACCTTTTCTCCATACAAAGCAGGTGTTCCTCCACTGAGCTACAGCATTTCCCCACGTCCGGTTCAGCTTACTCTAGCATGCTGTGCTTGGGGCTGCCTCTGAAAACTGTTCAGAAGAGGTTCATTGAGGAGACAACACAGTAACCAAAGAGCCATTTGGTGTAAGGTGCTCAGGTCATACCAACTCAGTGCTATTTCAATTGCTCTGGCTGCTAATTTATTCCCAGATCCAATTCATGGTGCCAGTCTTCACCTTTACAGGCCTAAACCATCTGAAGTCATGGAACTTAAAGGAATGCCTCTTTCTGCATGCACCTACTTAGTACAACTGAAAGCAGTGATGAGCTCCTACCACCTGTCCCTTGGTGTCTCTGAAACATGGCTGGAGAAGACATGAGATACATCCTTTTTGACTGCAGCACCCACATTATGGGATGCCCGCCACCAAAGGGATGTGTACGTCCTTTTAGCAAGCAGCCAAATCATTCCACAAAGGTCTTCAGTTAGCTGAGCTGTGATTGGTTGTTCTTTTCATAGCTACTGATGCTGGCTTTGTTTTGACAGTTTCTGAGTCATTGCTCATTTTAATATTTGATGATCTAAACTATTTTTGACAATTATGAATAGAAAGGGGAGTATAAATGTTTTAATTAAAAATGTGGAAAATTTACAAGAGAAGCAAAGGCTTCTCAGACACAATTCCTTTTTGCATTGAAGCACAAACAATCCTGCAACCAGGAAACTTAAATACTTTACAATCAAAAGATGCTGCTAAGAATTTACCTCCCAATCTGCATGTTGTATTTGTTGGCAGTGTTCCACTGGTTCTTTCAAGGAATGACAATGTTACGGTGGCAGAATAACTGTACGAATCAGCATACAGCAGTGAGAGTCATAACATGAGGCTAGACATTAGGAGATGATACCCTAAAACAACTTCTAGCGGTATCACTGCCCTGGCAAGGCCTGCCATTCACATACGCTCTGTCCTCACATCCAGTGAGCACCAACTGGGATCTGGGAGGTGCCATTTTAATTTCCCACAATCCCTTCAATATAACATCACCCTATGGCATTGTGGGAACTTAGAAAGACAGCTGCTGGACTGTTGCTGGGGCTTCTTGGTGTCGTGGAGTATTGCTGCTATTGCCAGGTAAAACTGAAAGGGGGATCCTGAAGACATAATGTAAGAGGGAACCCACTGACAGAGCAGGTTCTCAAGGCCAGAACCAGCCCTGTATGTTCAGGAAAAATGATAGAAGGCCATGCAGAGGGGTGCACGTACGTAACCATGGTCAAGCATTTCATATACCATGTACCCATTGTCAAACATCTCTAGAACAATAAGGGCTGAGATGGGAACAAATGACCAAGAGTAACGAGTAAACAAAAATCCTATATATATTTACTCAGAAGCATGTCTCGATCTGCCAATGGAGCCTATTCCTAGTAAACAAGCACAGCATGGCAGCCCAAAACTCATATGCCCCGGCAGCTGTTAAATTCAATGCAAAATCCCATGTGTGAAAGAGCACGGAATAACTGTGTTCCTGTTATAGCAAGAAACATCTGGGACTGGTTAACTTGGAAAAATGATGAGTCAGGGGAGGCATGATAGAAGTATGTAAAAATATGTATCATGTGGAAAAAGTGTATAGGGAGATCGTGCTTATTTCTCTCTCCCATACTACTAAATCCCAGTCAGCCAAATGGTGGGAAATTCAGGACAAACAGAAGGAGATACTTCTTCACACAGCAGACAGTTAAAGAATGGGTTCACTACCAGAAGATGTCATGATAGCTGCCCATTCAGATGGCTTCAAAAGGAGATTAGATCACTGCATGGAAGCAAAGACTGTTGATGGGTAGCAGCCTTGATTTCTATAAGCTGCCTCCAACATCAGGCTATGCATAACAGTTGCTGGAGAACACAAGAAGAAAGGAGCTACTTCATGTATGGCTTCTCACAGGCATTGAGTCGGCCACTGTGTGAACAGAATAATGCAAACAGGAGGACCCTTGATCTGATCCAGCATAACAGGGGATGATGTTTTAGGTGCCGCACTGAACTTTGTAATAATGTGTGATTAAAATAGGTGGGCAACACCAGCTAAACAACAAAGGAAAGGGACACAGGTGTATCAGACGGTCAAGGGGCCACTTTCTTCAACCAATCTCACTTTTCAGAAGAGGGAAGCAGTGTCATTTTAATTTACCCCTTACATTGCCAAAGCACAATGGTTTTCGATAAAAATATTTATTTGCATCTTAAGTGCAGAATTAAATGCATCTAACATGTCACCCAACTCTCCTATTTTGAATGGATACCTAGGGTTAACCATTCAGCAATCTCTTTCATTGGCAACTCCAACACTGGCAAAAACTGACTGATGTATACTTACAGACAGAAAGAGCACCTGTATCAGTTTCTAGAACAGCACAATTGTATGAAGAACTTCCCTTACACTCTTTTTGCTCTACCTTGCTATTTAAAGGGTTTGCAGAGCCTTGGTGATAAGATGCCCTTTTCTAAAGCTCAGTTAAATCTGATGCTTTCAGATGTGTTAGAAAGAAGATACAGAAACTGGCCATATTATAAGCGTACCTGTCCTTGTTGCTTAAACCAGTGGAAGATCTTGTTCATACATTGTCCTCTATATAATGCACTAAAGGAATGATATTTGGGTCAGATTTTAGAGAGATATTTGAGGAAGTCTGTCTATGAGATTATAATCTGTCTTGCTTTGTGAGCAAGACAGATACCTAGCTGCAAAGACTGCATGTTTTTGATCTCTAGTCATGGTGTTAGGAAACAATATTGAAAGAAAAACATTGTGCCTTGCCAGGAAGGATCAGAACTTTAAGTCCAGATGTAATTTTGTATAATTTTATGCCTCTTTATATATATTTTAGCTATTTTAACTAAACATCCAAAATTTTCTCTATCACCTGGGTGTGTAACTTTATATAAATATGTTATCTTTGTACTGGTGTCCAGTCACTTTATTTTTAAAGTTCATTTTTGTGATAGTCTCATGACTATAAACTAATTCACAACTCAGAATCTGAATCTCATGAACCTGGCAATATGATTACTGCCCCTCAAAACTAGCTTTTGTGAGTGACATTAAAAGTTACAGACTTCAGCTAACATCTCTACAAGATCTACTTCCTCTGGTGTAATACCTGGGAAACAGGTCCAAACATTCCTACAGCTATTTGGGACACACATAAGCAGTTTTCCATCAGTAATCAAGCCACACTGCTTTGCTGCATAGGAATCTCCTTGAAGCTGTCACAGACTGGCCCACACCATGTAAGAGTCTCTCTGGTCAGTTAGAACCAAAGGCACCAGAAGCCTCAGAAGCTTGAGCAGGTAAGAGCCATCGCTCTGCAGATCTCCTGCTTGGCATGCATCAGGTCTGAGGTTCAATCCCCAGTACCAGCAATTAAGAGGCTCCAGGAGGAAAAGATGGAAAAGACCTTTGTCTACATCAGAGAAGACAATACTGGGCTGCATGAACAAAATCCTGACCTAGCCTAAAGCAGTCTCCTGTGTTTCCTCATTAGTGCATTCTCCATCTGAACTACTCTACCAAGCCAGGCACAGCCTGCAGTTTCACCCAAGCATCGTGCCCTTTTTAAGAAAGGTCCCTTCCTTACCGTGAAGCCTCGCTACTTAACAAAGAAAGCCCACCTCCTTGCACTCCCAGCTTACCTTCAGTGGTTTGAGGGACTCCAAGCCTGCTCCTGGTTCAACCCCCTCCTCCCCGGCTTTCTTGCCCCTCCCTCTCCCCCGGCCACGGGGTTTCTTGGTGCCGTCATGAGCCACGCCGTGGGGCGGTTCAGTCAGGGGCCGGATGCGGGGCCTTCCCCGGGGGCGGGGTGGGCCCTCTCGCTTGGGCTTGGTGGGCTTACGGCCCCGTCGCTTGGGCCCCTCCATGAGACCACTGTTGGGCGGACAAAAGTCTATGTCACCCATGGGGCTGAGGCTGGTCCGGTTGGTCCGGCAGCTGGAAATGAGGTCAGGGAGCAGATCAGGCAGGCGGCGGCTGTTGAGGCGGATGTCGGCTGGGACGTCCTCCTTGTCCTCATCGTCTTCGAACTCATACTCCTGTGCGTAGTTCTTCTTGGGTGGCTGGAACGGTGGCTCCCTCTTCTTGAGCAAATGAAAGGAAGAGGTCTTCAGCAGCTTTTTGGGCTTGGAGGAGCAGAAGATTGGTGACGTCAGGCCCGATTTAGACTCTGAAACTGGAGCCGTCCCATGCTGGCCAGACTGGATCAGTCCCAGCTGCTCTGTATTGACTGTTGATGGCAACTCGTGCTTCACGGACACAGAATCCAGCCCCAAGTGCTGCCCATCCCCACTTTCTGATGGACAGTAGCTCTGGTACCCTTGTCCTCCCTGCATCATGTCATAGCCTCCCCCTTTCATTCCCTCGCCCCTCTCCATGCCTTGCGTGCCATCATCTGGCTTAGGGAATTCATCTCCAGCACAGGGAGGTGGACCAAACATGTCCTCCATGCCTGGAAAGAAGCTGCGGTCTTCATCTTGCAATAATGAGTCCGGAAAGCAGATGGAGGTGAGAGGGACAAAGCGCTGCTTGGCCCCTTGTGGGCTAGGGCTCTCAAACTGGTCCTTGCCCTCCAGCTGGCCTTGGGGTACTTGCTGCGAGGAGTCAGGATCCAGGCTGGCATCAGGGAGAAGGTGCTGCTGACTCTGCACTGCCCCACTCTGCCCCAGGTGGGACTCCAAGCTCAGCTCCGGTTCCAAGAAGTCCTGGATCTCTTGCGACTGGGAGAGATTGCCCTGGGGCATCACCTCCATGCCCTCAGACTGCATTCGTTCCTGCTGCAGCTGTCCCTGGAGCTGGGGGGACTGCTGGGGTTCAAGGAGCTGTGCCTCCATGCTCTGGGAGCGCACGTGGGCCTGGTGTAGGTGAGCCTCCAAGGCCTGCATCTGAAGCTGGGGGGAGGGTGCCTCGGCCGGATGCATGCGCTGTGGCTCCATCAAGTGGACGTCCAGAGGGGTGCGGACCTTCCCGCGAGAGTGCAGCTGACTCTGGGTGTGTGTCAGCACTGACTGGAGCAGCTGGGATTGCTGCTGCTGCTGCTGCTGCTGGGAAAGGGAGAGGGGGGGCAAGTCAGGAGGAGAGTCCAGCATCAGTGTGGCCCCCTGCTGTCCAGGCATCAGTCCATGGGGCTCCAGCGGGTGAGGCTGGGGGGCATGCTCTGGAGTCTTCTGCAGATAGGAGTGAGCTTGCGCAATCTCCTTGCCACCAGCATCCATGTGGCCGCCCTGGAGGTGCTGCTCCACCGACTTCTTCATGTCTTGCCCATAGGAGTCCATGGAGCCAGCCTGATGGCTGTAATGGACCACCGAAGTAGCCAAAGACTCAGGCGTTGAGCGGGTGTGCGGGTACTCCTTGGGCCTCTCCCCTTTCTTCTTGTCCTTCAGGCTCTGCAGGGACATCTCCAGGCCCTGGTTGTCCAGGTTGGAGTTGGTTCGGATGACACTCTGCAAGTGGTAGCGCTCCTCTGTCTTACTCAACTCGTACGCCATCCCTTTCCCAGCCCTCTCCTCACACTCCACCATGCCTTCAGTGGGCACCCGGGGAGGGCTTTGCGACTGCAGCAGGTGCTGAATCAAGAACTCCTCATCTTCCGTCCGCTCTGAGGACAGCAGGTCTGAGTCGGCCTTGGCCTTTCCATACGACGCTGCCCTCTCCAAGCCCCCTTGGGAACTCTGGTAGCTCTGGGTGTGTGCTGTCTGCATGAATGAAGGAGACAGCACGGATGTGAGGTACTTCTGAGACTGCCCAGGTGAGGCCACACTCTGAGGCCGGTTTGTGGTGGGCGACTGGAGAGGCCGGATGATCTGGGAAGGGCTTGAGTCGGGGAGGTTCTGGCTGTGTGTGTAGCCAATGGACTGGCTGTGCCCAGGCATGGCTGGTGAGTGGCCGGTGCTGTAACTCAGTGACGGGCTGGCTGTGGGCATCCCCTGCGAGTGTGCGGGGACGTAACTGGGTGTCTGACTAACAGAGACGTGAGGCTCCGCCTGGACCGTGTAACCGACCGATGACAGGCCTTGCAGCTGCTCGGGCGAGTAGGTTTGATTCTGACAGGTCTGCAGCCCTTGCCCGGCCTGCCCGGCCTGCCCCTGCTGGGCCTGCCCACTGGTTGAGTAGCTCTGAGCCTTGCTCACGCTTGTGAGGTCTTGGGCCTGGTTGCTGCTGAAGCCTTGAGAGGCCTGGCTGACCGAAGAGAGATTTTGTGACTGGCTGACGGAGTAACTCTGTGTTTGGCTCATGGAGAGCAGGCTCTGGGGCTGACCAGGCGAATAGGCTTGCGACTGGCTTGCGATGACTGAGCTGGGCTTGGGAGTGGACGAACTGTAGTTGCTTTGGCACTTGGGCGTGGCTGTGGAGCGGGGTGGCTGGCGGGAGGCTGAGTAGCTCTTGGATTTTGACGAAGAAGCCGTCCCTGAGTAGCCTGGGGACTGGATGATGGGACGGTAGCTCTGCGAGGGCTCCTGTCGTGTGGCCTGCGGAGTCTTTTGCTGCTGGGACCCTTCGCTGCTGGCAGGGGACTGCTCACCCAGGGGGCTGCAGGAGAGACTGGAGCGATGGGACATCTGCTGGTAGCTGCCCCCGCAGCTTAGGTAGTGCTGGAGAGAATGGGCAGCCGGCAGCTGTGGCTGGGCACTGGAAGGCCTCTGGTAATGCTTGATCACGCTGTCTTGCCGAGGGATGGCTCGCTCGATGGAAGAGGCAGGTGAACTGGAGAAGACAGAGGTGTTGTAAAGCTGAGATGTCTGGTCTGATGGCCCCAGCGAGGATGAGAGAAGGTTGAACTGCGAGGGGAGGTGGCGGGAAGCTGATTCTTGAGCACTCCGGTAAGCCGAGCTTTGCGAGGGCAAGCCTGTGCCCAGCACCGCGCTGCCCAGCCGGTCAAAACTAAGAGATGAAGGGACGCTGGGTTGGGAGGACTTGATGTGAAGCAAAGGGTCATGTGGAGACAGGAGGCCGTTGGAGGTGGGACTGAAGGTAGCATCCTGCAGGGTGAGCGAGGAAGTGACTGGGAAGCTGCGCCCACTGAAGGAGGCTGGGTGCTGGTAAGCAGAGAGCGCCGAGGAGGAGGGGAAGGTGCCAGAGCCTGGAAGAGCCCCAGAGATGAAGAGCTCGGCAGGTGCTGGAGTGTGCATGGCTGGAGAGAAAGAACAAGGGTGATGGGTTAGGCACTTCCAGACAAATGCTGCAAGCTATTCACAAAGAAGGCATCGAGTATTACTTATTACACAAGGGGCTGCAATGGGGAGGCATCAGCTATACCCAAAGACACAGTGAGAAGACAGGCTGCGCCCCACCTACCCCCCTCCAGGTCAGGACAGGACTACTAAGATGAGGGCCAGAGATCAATGCAGGTTCTCTCTCCAGTTAAAACGTATAATAAGGCAAGAGAGGATGGGAAACAAATCTTACATGAGAGTTTGGCAAGCTGTGCTAGTCAGAGCGGACAAGATCAGGGACAGGGAACCTCTATCACCCCAAGGCTTGGATTTTATTTCAGAGAAATTCTTGGGGGCCACATTGCAAGTGCAGATCAGGGAAAGGATGTGATTTCTAAAATACAGGCTAAAATTCAGCCTATTGTGGTCTAATGCTTTTATCACCAAAAAAGTGCTACTGTGGGTGGCTTAGGAGAGATATTTCAACCTTTTAGAATGGGGTAAAAATGGCACAAAACTAGAAAACCAGGAAATCAGCAGTTAGGGGAAAGGGAAGGTGGGCTTGACTGAGGAACTCCACGGGGCAGGATGAAGCCAAAGTCTGATTCAGTATGAGGCAGCTTCATATTAGGTCTCAACAGAACCATGACCCAATACCACAGGTTCTTCTTACTCAAGAACCAAGACACAGCCACCAAGTCCCAGTCTTAGAAACAGCCCAAACAATTGAACAGAAATCCTCCTGTAAAAGTTTGATGAACCTTGTAACAAGCAAAAGACTCTGCCCTCCCTCCTGTGATGCCAAGGAGAGCCCCACAACAGGTTACCTGTTTGCCAGGACGGGGTGCGGAACTGGGAGAGCAGGGAGGAAGCAGAAGGGCCTGGCTGTGGTGCCCGGGACTCCAGCGCCGAGATGAGGTTCATGACAGAGGCATCTGGGGTGGCACTGCTGGCATGATGAAGTCCTGTCTCGAACAGGCCAGAAAGACCTGAAGAAAAAAATGTAAAAAAGAGGCAGGGTGATGAACTGCTCAATGTTATATATGGCTGTCGTAACTGATCTTTTTCATGTTGCAATAATTTTTCTATGTATCTTACTATTGTTGAATGCCATTTTTGGTGGAAAGGCAGGATATTACAATGAATAAATAATAAATATAAAAGTTGGTGGTTTTGTTCACATGTCACTTAAACCATGATTTATGTTAACCATTGTTTGTTCTTTTAGCCGTCGATTGCAGTTTTACTCTGGGCTCCAACACTTTGTTCTTTCTTCCACGACAAGACAGAGTTCCCAGTTCAGAGACCATGTTAACTCAGAGATAGAGCATCTCCGTAGCTTTTCCTGCTTGCAGTATGCACAATCAAGCAGCAGGAGCCAGTGTACTTGCTTGTTCTGACACATTCACAACAAACTAAGGTTTAATAAAATATTGGATTGTTATAATGTGTGAATCAGGCCACTGTCTTACAGACAAGCAAGCAAACTACACCTGGTTTTCCTTGTGCCCCCCCCCCCCCTCCTGCCTTTGCAACTCTTCAGAGAGGTTTCATCTGCAGACTGCTCTTCAGGGTACCTTTGTTTCAGGGCAAGCAGAAGGATAAACAAGTGAAGGATAAGCCACCATTCTGGGTTCAGACAGCAAAACAAGTCATAGTTTGTGCAAGCTAAGATCTGACTAGGTTTACACAACTGGAGAAGAAAAAGAAGCCACAGTGTTTTCTTTTCCCCATCCCACCATAATTATCTGCATAGGGTACCAGTTGCCATGTCATCCCAAGATGGTACTGAGGTGGCTTCCAAACCATGCCGGAACCCTAAAACTAACCATGAGTTACAGGGTGGTTTGGAACCAGGCAACTGCAAACACAATTGTGAAATTTTCTGGAAAGAAAAATAGCACTAACTAAGCATATTTGAGACTCTGGGTGGGAAAAAGGTAAAAAATGAAAGTGGGTAACAATCAGAGTGGAAAGGCGAGATAAGGCAGATCCTGCTGTAAAGGACCCTGGGATACTGGTTGGAAGGCAGGAGGAGAAAGAGAACAATCCACAGTGAATCTGATAATCTTCCCGGTCAAAACAACCACAGGTTGTTCTGCTGACCACCAACACTACATATCTTATTCACAGGGTGGTTTCAGAGAAAGAAACAGGGAAAAGAGAAGCTGATGACCAAACAGGTAGCTGGGGGCGTGGGCTCAGGAGTAAGAAAAAAACAGGAAAGGAAGGACAGATGAGGAACTAGAAGCAAACAGCAAGACTGACTGTGGGTAACAAAACCTCACTCCTGCAGAGGCCAATGAACTGAGGGCCAGATTACACATTACTTTAGTAGTGTGTGGTTTTTTTTTACATGCGTAGCACAGGTCACATTGTCTTTTAACCAAACACAGCTGGCAGGGGCAGGATGGGGGAAAAGTAATTTATTTCAGAAAATTTGTATTTGTAGTCTGTATTCCCATCCAGAGGTGCCCAAGAAAATAGCAAAATATATGGGGAGAAGGGATTGTAGTGAAAAAAACAACAATATGGTGGGGGTTACCTATGCACCAAATCCAGATTCTAGCACCTCTGTCCTTGTTTCCGGATCAGAAATACTGTGCCCTGAACTAAGTTTGTAAAATGAATCAGCCTGTGCAGTTTGGTGCTGAATGGATGCAGCAAGGTAAGTGAAGCAAAGATGCACCACAGGCTAGAGAACCTGGTGGCCATTCGCATCCACAGAGAAGGAACACACACAAAATGGTTGTTGAGGAAAGCAAAGGGAGGCCCGGTTAAAACTCACAGCGCATACAGACATCAAGGAGATAGGAACAAGCACAATACCTGCCGGGTGGTGGTTTGTGGCGTAGCCCTGTAAAGGATGGGGGGTGGCGTACGCTTGACGGTGTAAGATATCTGTGTCTGGGTGTGAGCTCCGGGATCCGCCGTACACCAAGCTGAAGGAAAGACAAACAGATGGTCAGACCTGGCAATTTAAGCAAGATCAGTTCTCACACTAAGCATACATCAAACATCCCGACTGTGTGCACAAACCAGTCAACACTCAGGGTAAACCTTCCATTCTGAGATGAACTGCTGAGTAAGAGCAAGGAAGGTGGAGGAAGCAAGGGGGCAGCATCCTATTCAGCATTAGTGCTAACAGACATTATTTTGTGTCTTAGCTACTTCTAGCACATTGCCAAGAGCATTTGTTGGCTTGACAGGTTTCCTTGCAAATCCCATCATGCCACCAGGCACAACTAGCATTCTGCTAGAAGAAGCTCTACCTTACCACTAGCACCAAAGAAGGTACTCCCTAGGATTGTGGAAATGCTACAGTCATTTGGGTGCAATGAAACAAGGGCTCTCGCATATATGTGGCCCCACCATGTTCCGGTCCCTGCTCAGCTATGAGCTTTGCAGGCACCCTTGTACAGTTGCAGGAATCAACTCCTTTGAAAAAATGGGCACTTTTCAAAGATGAACCAAATTATTACTCAGAGTGAAGCATTCTGCAGGAATAACATCAGAACACAGGTCTAAGAGAATAAAATGCCTTTCCCATTTCAGATGGCCAGGCATTTTCTCTTCTATCCCTGTCTTCTTTCATTAGTGATCTACACATATGCAGGGAATAAGACTAGAATGTGTAACTGATGATGCATGATGGGAAATGTAGTCCCCAGCTCCTGGTTTCCCACAGCTTCTACATGTGACCTGCATCTCCTCCTCCCCCACCCTTCCCATGCACTCCACTCGCACAGGAAGATGCAGCTGTCTAGCCCAGCAGCCAAAACACAGCTTGTAGAAGAACACCCACCCCATCCTAACTTGCCTCCTCAAATGTAGGCACAGCTCAGCTCTTGCAGCTCTTACTTGCAACTCAATCACATCAGCTCTGCTCTTGACCCCACTGACTTCTGCCCTTTACTTGCAATTCTTTACTCACACAACAGCTATTTGCCTCTGGACAGACTGTCCAAACATCATTTCCCTTCACTAAAACAGGAGAAAAGCTTGCTCCCTGTGCCATTGATGGAACCTAGGATAAGAGAACAAAAATTCTACTTTCCCAGGTTCTGTTGTCAAAGCACCTGTTCTAAGCTATGGGACTTAGCACTATTTCTAGACAAATACTAAGTTCTCAACATCCTACCCCACGGGTCCTCAAACGACGGCCCAGGGGCCGGATCCAGCCTGCCATGGAGATTTATCTGGCCCGCCTCAGAGGTTTTCAATGTGCCGCGTGTGCACCTGCGCGCCACGTCGCTGCCCACCTCGCCCGCTGTGCTGGGAGGCGGCAGTTTGCTCGCGAGGAGATCATTTTGGACTCGCTAGGAGACAATGCCCCCCAAGCACGCCAGCCTCTGCATCGTGCACCCGCCGCTGCATCGCAGAGCGTGCCCACCCCTCCCTGGCCTCGCCTCGCCTCGCCCGCACGCCCACCTGTGCCTCACCCGCACGCCCCACCGGCACCACCCCTCTGGCCTGCACCCAGCAGCAGCACCTTTCAATTGGCCCCCTGATGAAAACGTTTGAGGACCCCTGTCGTACCCTCTTACATGTTATATATGCTGAGCCAACGTTTCTACCACTGTTACCAAAGGTCCAAGAGTGTGGGCTTCAGTCAGCCTGATTTAACAGTGTGATCCTAAGCAAGCCTACACAAGACCTATTAAATTCAATGGGGCTCCCTCCCAGGCAAGGGGATCCAAGGCTGCACCTCAAGTAACTTTTCAGTCAGCTGTGCACCTTGTGCAATAATGACTATGGAACAAGAAGCCAGTGTTTCATACAGGTCTATAAAGATTGTTTTTCTTTTTAAAAGTTGCATTCATTGACAAAAAGCATTCACCACTATCCTCAGCTTCTTTAAACAGCACCCCTGATTTTTAGATCCCACACAACAGATCTGTGCTTTCTTTTTCAAGACTCCCTTTGGGAATCACACCAAATGCACATAATTATGGCCAATGCTGCCACTCCCCTCCTTCCAGGGCCCAACCAACCCACACCGTTATTTATCTTCCAAATGTGTGTGTTGAGGCATGTGCCCCAATTATGCACGTGTTACGAAGGAAATGCAAGCACAGCCCTGGGACAGGAGAAGTCGTGCGGGGGACACCACCCCACTGCAAAGAAGAATAGAGGGGAGGCGTGACTTGCGCACAAGCCCGCCTGTCTCAGGAATGCAGCTACCTGCAGAAAAGTTGCAGGAAACAATGAAAGTTACAAAAGCAAAACCAGAGAGCTGAGAAGGCCTAACCTGCCACAGTTGCAAGCAACCCTCTCTCTGCACACAGCATGCCTGCCTACAACAGTGATGTGAGGACGGACTGCAGAGTAGCAACCACTAAAGGGCCATTCTGCAAAGGGTTACAGGAAACAGGAAATAAGAGACTCTTTCATTCACCGTCACCACTGTCTCAATTCCTCGCTTGCTACAGTAGACTGTGTCAATAGCTGAATGGAAAACCATCCTAAGACTTGGCGGGGCGGGCGGGCGGGGGGTTTGCAGAGGAGAGACACACAGGAAGAGGTGGCTACACAGAAACCAAGCTTCCTCTGTGACTCTCAGCACAAATAGGAAAACTCTCCTGTTCCACCCTCAGCTCTAGTCCCTCACTTAAATGGGCCGCTGCACCTGGGAAAGCCTCTCTATCAGAAGCCACAAGACAAAAGATTCAAGTGAAGTCTGAATTCAGGTGTCTGCAGAGGCAGACATTTCTATTCCTATACTGGTTTTCAGTTACATTGTACTGCACTTTTAATTCACAATAACACTTTGCCATCATTCATAATTGCCCTCACAACCATACTGCAAAGCGGGTCACTACTGTTCCCACAGTACAGTTCAGGAACCAAGTATGAGAGTATATGACTCTTCCATAGCCATAAAGCCAAAACAAGGGTGACATCTGAGCTTAGGTCTTCCAGACTCAAGGACCACTTTCTGTTCCCAGGCCAGGCCAGGGCACTCGCTTTCACCTACAGGGCCTGCAAGTGATAAGCAACATAGCTGCTTGCAGAAGGAAGCAGGTCACACCCTTCAAAAATCCAGACCGCATGAGCAACAACAGCTGATAAGCTGTGGGACCAGGGAGCTTTGAGAAGACCTTGAGCAAGTCAGTGATTCTCAGTTCCCCCAACCAATAAATTAGGAAGAGGAGTGACCTGTCTCTTAGGGTGAGTTGAGGACATGCTTTGCTACTAGCTCTAAAACCTTTGCGGGGGAAAGCTATAAATCTAGGCCCTGTGGCAAGAAGCACATCTACGCTACTGTGACAAGGACCCATTCAGTGCAAGAGTGCTGGACTGGGGCTCAGGAAACCTGGGTTCCAGTCCCCACTCAGCTGTGAAATTCCCTGTGTGACTTTGGGCCAGCCATGGACTCTCAGCCTCCCCTACTTCACAGGGTTGCTGTTAGGATAAAATGGGAAGAAAAAAGATCATGTAGGCCATCCTGGGTTCCTTGGAGGAAAGAAGGTGGCATATAAATGTAATAATAAATAAAAATAATTTCTATGTTCACACAATCAACCCTATTCCAATATAAGAAATTGTTCATGCACCTGAGCTCATCTTCCATTTTGACTGAGAGAAGCTGAAGGACACATTCTGTACTTCAATGAGTTATGCATACTCTTACTACAGAATTGTCGTTGTTGCTGTTTTATAAACTAAGACTTTACTATCCCCATGCAGGGTACCCTGGCCTACAACAGTAAACTATTTTCCTCCTTTCTTAGAAGTAAAACTTCTAATAGTGCCTGAAGTATATGAATAGGTCTGCATCAACTTATATAAGAAAACACTAAATCCACACAGACCCTAAGATGTGCATACAACTGTCAGAAAAGGGGAATAACAGAATTGGAGAATTCTCTGCAAGGAAAGTAGTCGTTGACTGCAAATTTTAACAGAAAACCTGATACACTCTGGTCAAGTTTGACATAATTTGCATGCTTTGCCATTTTCCCAATTTGTGAATTTGGTATGTGTGTGTTCGAAGCAAGGAAGGGGTTAACAAATAACATGAGATGAAACAAGGATGGAGAAAAAGGGTTGCCATGGAAAGATCGCAGGACTTTTGAGAGCAAATGAGCCTATCTGGACTCTTTTCAATTCACCCCTATACCCATGAGGACTAGAAACATGCTATTTTAAAGTAACATAGGCACACTCAGAATTCCATGCAAGCTAACAGAATATAATATATGCTCAGTAGCCCAGTGACAGCCACACTGTTTCCTAAATGCAGCAGATTGCAAAAAGGTTCGTATTTAATTTTTAGAATAGAGTAATTCCTAAGCCAAATCCACATAGCATGCAATCCCAGCCACTACAAATAAAGTTGCACTGCATGAAATGTAATCACAGCATAGGTACAAGTGCAAAAGGCCCATGGGTATATTTACTTGCAGATGCTGTGCGTCCCATCCCATACATCCAGCATGCAAGTGCACTTTCCAACAGAATGCAATTACTGACGCAATTATACAGAGGCCTGCTAGTGCCTATTTGGTAGTTGTGTCCAAGTGCAGAGAGAAGAAGGTATATGTGTGCAAAATGATGCACAAAAATAGGCAAGACACAGATGCAATGGAAATTGGGATTACAAGTTATAGCAGGAAGCACCTTATGGAGGACAAGTATTTTATAAATACATGTAGCACAACCAGGGCAGCATCAAGAGCCTCCTCCCAAGCAAAGCGCATGTCATAGGATATAAATGTATCACAGAGACTTCCAGCATTCCCCATCACAAGGTTACAAGCCAGCAACAGGCGAACGTTCATGACATCTACATGCTATGCAAACATGGGATTTAACAGCAAGTACAGGACACCACATCCTGAATGGCTTCGAGTGATGCAGTGATAAGCCTCCACCTAGCGAAGTTTCAGAAGGCAGTCCAAGTTGGCTATCTGGGGCAGGAAAGGGCCTCAATGGCTTCTCTATAGCTCCTTGTTCCTTCTTATTATTATTTGAAACTATACACATTATGCAAAATAAGCAATGCACATGCAAACTGTATCATTTATACAAGTTGTAGAACTCGGGGTTTCTTAACACAACATTTGAATAGCCGCAGAGCTGCCTCTTTCTTTTTTATCTGAGCTACAGACTGTGCACGATCCCAGCAACAGGCTCCTCTCCAATGAAATTGTGGGTGCAATTCATGCCACATACTACTAGATCAGAAGCATTAACTGACTCCTGTGTGTGGGCATGTGGGTGTGTGGCAAAAGTATAACTACACGGTGACATGGAATATCTCACACTCCAAAGCATGCACAATAGTAAAACTGTAATTTATGAGAGAAGGAACACTCACCCTGTAGCCGGAATGGGAAACATGTGGTCCTCCACAAGCCCTAGCCAGCATAACCAATGAAGACATATGGGAGTTGGAGTCCAACAACATCTGGAAAGCCACACAGTTCCCATCTGTGCCCTATAGGTTCCAACACCTATAGCGGAACACTCCAGCACCAAAGCATGCCCTGTGCCCGAATAATGCAACAAAAGTGGCAGACTAGCCAAGGAGAGCAAGCGATTCACTTCATCCGGTCGCAGGCAAATATCCAGCAGTGCATGTTTGGGGGCAGGGAACTGGAGGCCAAGAGAAACACTGAAGTTTGAATAAGAGGGAATCTGGGAGCCACAGAGACCTATGGCTATTATACCCCACTTCCCAGCACTGAAGAGATCACACACCAAGTTAGCTCACTGCACAATCCTGTCACAGCAGCTAGTTGGCTGTGGTGCCTATGAATCGCCAGCAGGTGACCAGGCCAGAAGATTTTGTAATTAAGTGAAAGCATTCCTCCTAGGCCATTGATGTGCCTGCAATTATTAAAAGTTTGTGCAGGCGGGCAGGCAGGCGAACTAATACAAATGTTGCAGGCTAGTAACTTTTATATTCTTCTTTCCAAGGCTGTTTCAAAGCCATTTCCTGACGCAGCTACAGAAGAACTCTCCCACTTACCCAGAGGGTGAAGAAAGAAGCTCCATGCCTCAAGCTTCACTGGAAACCATGTCTTCCTATCTGGAAATCCTCACTGCTAACCTCAGAGAGGTAAATTCTTGTTGTGCGGGTGCAGCATAAAAACACAGACTTGACAGAAATGTATTCTGCACATCCTCAGATGCTACTATACAGTACAAAAGAGGCAAAAAGTTTGTTGTACCGCACCATGCACCATACAAAATACACTCCTCAGTTTTCAAAGGATCTGAAGGTCAATGTCAAAAAGTCACCCCTTCTGAAGTAGCAAGCAAACACAGCACAGAGATAAATACCAGAGACTTAAATGGCATACTTCAATAATCCAGTAGGCTGAGAATTCTCAAACTTCAGTCATATTAATGCTGAGGCTCCCTAAGCCACACACAGAAGTGTTCAAGGTGCCACAAATGTTACTGAATCATAATAATGATGGTAGATCATCCTTTGGCAGACTTTGCCCCAGGGGGAGAGGGAAAAAGGAAGTAGTAGGTGCATTAGGGAGACAAGCTAAGAAGCCAAATGCTGCTAAACACTGGAAGATTACTCCTTGCGGGAGAAACAAAATATAAACATGAGAAGGTAAGAAGCACAGAAGGTAAGATTTGCTTCATGCATGATAACTGTGTTTAGGGAGTCTTACTATATATGTCTATATACATGTCTAAATGTCTCCTGCAATAAGCATTATTACAGTGCTTTGCTCATGGGTCAAGGACCCTGACCTTTGCGCTAGCTTACTTGGTACTCGAGGCCTCACTTTCCCAGAGAAACTCAAAAGAGCCCTGGCTGCAAAAACCTTTGCTGAGTCCCAGACTTGCCTCTCCCATGGGTATTCAGTTACTCCAAGGGAAGCCAGTATGCACCCCAGGCAGCGGTGGGTCCTCCAGATGTTTTGGTCTAAAACTGTCATGATACCTCACCACTAACTACAAAGACCAGGACAAAAAATCAGGAGGGCCACCAATGGCCCTTTCCAGCCCTGTGTAAACACAACCTCATTTAAACTTGCACACAGAGGCCCATGAGCCCATTAAGCCTGCATGTCAACAGCTCTAGCATTTGAGCAGTGTACCTCTCTGGATGACAAATAGCTGCATATATGTTTGATGGTACATGCACGATGCCCAGTAACCACATGAAACAATTACATGTACTACCTGTAGCTAGCTCAGCATTCAAATCAAGATTTGGATTACTGCTCTCTTATCGAAGGTAAAAAGCAGAAACAGTTTATAGCAGAATTCCTTATCCATTCCTAAAATGCAGCTTTGGAGAGAGGGAAGGATCATTTATACACTGATGTGAGTTACATCTAGAGATTAGAATAGGATGTGTAACAGTAACTCAGAGGTGTGGGACAAGGTGACACAATACAGCACAATATGCCATCCTTTTACCCCCAACACACCTATATATAAACAAGACTGGGAAAGGGGAAAGAAGTGAACAGACATCTGATGTCAAAAGTTGAAATTCTTGGATGCTGTGCAAAATGAACAGAAAAGTGGATGAGAGTGAGGGACAATTCATACTCCTGAGTTCTTTAGAGTGCAGGTGGGAATGGATAGATCCTTGATTCCTGGTTCCTACAGAAAGGGAGATGGACCTAGCAGACTAGGGAGATGAACATTTCTGAACTCCCTAGGAGCAAAGAAAGGCCTAACAGAGGCCCAGATGGTTGTAAAGATCTAGGACACCTGGATTCTTGCAGAGAGAGCAGTGGTACTGTGTTAATGGTACTGAGGAGATCATTCAGGCATACATGTGTGTTTGCATGTGTATAAGAAAAACTACCCAGCTACAAAAACAGCCAACCCTCTCTCACCTTTCCAGATAAATGGGGCATATCTCTACTTGGCAGAACTCACAAAAGTTATCTCCTTCTGTATTAATGGAAGCAATACTCACAAGAACAGATAACCAAGAGGTTTTAAAGTATGAAATCAAAGGGCGCCAATCCTCTTTGCTAAATCTACACAGGTTTCCTGGGGCCAACTCCCAACTTTTGTGGTTCTCTTCTATAAATGATGCTCTTACAGGTATAAACCATGCAAACCACAGTGGATGAGTGTTCCAGTTTATAAGTACAGTATAAAGAGAGTCACAAAACCTATAGTCCATCTGTGCCATTTCACAGAAGTGGTGATGGGAATAACGGGGGTTCCCAAAATGCTGTACTTCCCTCCTTCAGTTAGGCAGAAAGTCTCACACTGCCCTTCACAAGCACCTCTAGGTATTCCTCACTCTTCCCTTCCACTGAGTCTATATTTCACATCTTCAAGCCCAAATATTTCCACACAAATGAAAATGAGTTACTATTTGCACCCCTCTCATTCCTCTATAGAGAAATACATGTCACTATGTGTACAAAAAAGGGGATATCCTCCACCTTCTAACGTCCTTCCCCCTCTGTCTAAATTAGGCAGCAAAAACAGAGGTCCTGCTGAAGACATTTATTGGGGTGCCATTGGGCATCACCTCACAAATGCTGAAATGTGGAAAAAGCACACTCCCCTCACACAGTCTCTATCAATGCAGTGGGGGAGGTTAATACCTCTCCTCCCCGTACAGGAAAAAAAACATTGCCCCAAGGAGTGCTGCTTTTTCCAGTACAGCAGTTCCATGCCTCCAAAGAATGGGATTCTGGCTTCATCCCATAGGAAATGGAACACAATATCCCTTCCTTCATAAATAGGATATGGAGTGTCTTCCACTGGGCATCTCCCAGTGCATGCACCCCTAGGGGCGGGAAGGAAAAAGGAGAAATCCTAAAGCCATCATTGTACCTTGTGTGTATTACTCCTCACCTGCATGGAATTAAAATACTTTCTCCCTGCAGAGGTTCGTGGGCTTGCTGTGCACAGGGAGAAATGAGGATCAGACCCTGTCCTTTTACCCCCTGCCCTTTGCATACATTTCAGTCCTACTTCTCCCCCACTTCCCACTGAGCAGGGGAGCTGTGTGTCCCACTGGGCCCCCCATTCCTCTGCATGGCCTAGAGGCTCTCAGCACAGGCCGTCGTCGCCACCTCCTTCTCTCCCCCCCCACCCCCGGCTTGCACAAGGCAACCCTCCCAACGCGAGGAAGTTCCCAACATCGCACCACCCTCAAATGCATGGCTCGGGCAGAGGGGCAAAAGCCTGCCTGTCTGCATTCTTCTCTCCAAGGGGTTCCCTCCTGGATCCTCCCCCCTTCCGTTGCCCCCCACTTTCCCAGGCCCAGAGAGGGCGGCCTGTGGAAGAGCGAAGGAGGGGCTGGAGGGGGAGGGGGTTCCCTCCTTGCTCCCCGCCAAGCCCGGTCCCTCCGGAGCGCGACCGGGCGGGGGGCTGCTTCGCCCTCCCTCATCCCCAGCACCCCATCCCCACCCCCGGCGGCCTGACCTGGCCTTGGCCGAGCGCTCGTAGCTCCATCCCGGGCCGGCGCCCAGCGGATCCCCGAAGCCGGCGCTGGGGTAGTTCCTATCCATGGGGAGGGGGCGCCGGGGAGCGGGCGCCTGGGGCCGGCCGCGGTCCGTCGGTCCGTCTCTCCGCTCGGTCTGGGGCCCCCCTGCGCCTCCCCCCACGGCGTCGGTCGCGGGGGGGGAATCGGGGAGGAGATCGGGGAGGGAGGGGATCCCTCCTTCGCCGCCTCCTCCGCCTCCCCCCCTCGGCCGCCGCGCTGCCCCGCTCGGCCTCGGCTCAAGCCGCGGGCTGGCGCTAGCGCTGGGGCGGCTGGAGGAGGAGGCAGCGGCGGCGGTGGCGAGCCTCTGGGAGGCGGCTCATGGTGCAGCCATGTTCGCTGGGCGTCTGTCTGCGCTCCGCTCCGCTTCCTCCCACAATCCCGTGCTGGGGAAAGGAGGAGGGAGGGAGGGAGCGACGGAGGGATGGAGGGATGGTGGACAGACGGAGGGATGGCTGGAAGGAAGGGAGGAAGGAAGGAAGGGAGGAAGGAAGGGGGAGAGAGAGGGGGGGGACCCAGGGACAGAGGGAGAAGCCGACGGAGAGAAACGCAGGAAATGGAGCAGGAAGGAGCAGAGGCAGCAGGGAGACAGGGTGGAGAGGAGACGGGAGCGAGGCGGCTGAGAGGGGGAGGCTGGGGCGCAGAAGGAACGAGGGGACGAGGCGGCGAAGGTGGACGGAGTGGGCAAAAAGAGGGGAAAGGACAAAGGCGCACGGCGCAGGGATGGGGTGGAAGGAATGGAGCCAAGTTCGGACGAGGCACGGGAGGAAGGGTGGGTGGATGCAGGGCAGGCAAGCAGGCAGACGACGGGGAAATACGGGGAGGAGGGAAAGAGCCAGAAGAAGCGGGAAGAGGGAGATGGAGAGGGGGCCAGGGCAGAGAATAGTGGAGGAGAAAACCATGGAGGGAATGGGCCAGAACAGTTGGAGGGAAAACGGAAGAGAGAGCTGCAGGGAACTTTTGACGAGCAGCCTTTCAGGCCCTCGTGCCTTGATTTCGATGAGTAAACGGGCCAGCTTAACACGGCGGTGGACGGAGGATTTAATGCTGGGAGTTGGGAACGTGTCGACTTCAGGGACTGCTTCATGTTTACACCATGGACTGGACAGCGTGGCTTTCAGTAATGTTTGAAGGGCGTTCTCGTGTGTTAAAAGGCCAAGTGAACTTGTCCTTTGGAGCCATGATACTCGCATTTTATTGAGTCTTTTCAGACACCTGAATGGCCTTAAAAATGTTACGGCAAAGTCAACTCCAGGTGGAAACATGCTATGAAACTATGAAGCGGACCTCAGGGTTGTTTCACACATGATCTTTTCCCAACGACAGTGTACAAAAGTGTTGAAAAAATGCACACCAAATAGGTTGGATGTTTGGTTTTACTATATGTTTGAAAAGCAGCAAATGGTTTTAGACACTACCATGTTTGCTTATCCCCACTTGTACCTTACATGTGCAACCTATGGGGAACTGCATCTGTCTCATTAATTGTATGTATACTGCAAATAAATGTTAAAGCTATGCTTTATACCCAGTGTAAAAATATGGCTATAGGAGCTATCTCCTTAAACTGAAACAAAACAGGCATATGTATTGCACCAGTGTATTGTGTGCACAAATCGAAATAGAAGTTTGCGTAATTCTCATAGTTAACTCTAGATTCGTGATGCAACCCTGTATCACCCTTTTATTTTTCTGATAAACAGCTAAGCAAATACAAATCTTGGCTGCCCTTGTAGAATAGAATGCAAGTTACATGAATGCACTCTCACTTTTCTATAAAGGTGAATTGGTTTTAAGGTCCTCAGGTTAAGAGGCTGGAGGCCATTTCAGCTGAAAGTAAACTGTTGTTATGTGCCATCAAATCATCTCTGACTTATGACGACCTTAGGAATGCTGTCCAAAATACCCTGCCCATGACAACTCCATTCAGCTGTTCCAAGTTGGAGACTGTGGCTTCCTTTATGGATTCACTTCATCTCATATTTGGAGTTCCTTTTCTTCTTCTGTCTTCAACTTTCCCTAG